CCACCCACCCACAATTCCGTTCTTGTGAGTTTGCTTACTCGCCATTACACTGGGTTGTGCCCACATCCTCAGGTTTCAAGGTGTCCAGCAATTCGGAGTTGCCGTCCTCATGTTTGCCATCGAGAAAGCTCGAGCACGACTACACGAAACAACAATCACCCACTCACCCTCTCTCACTCCCACCGACTACCGAACACCCCCCGCCCTTTCTCACTCCCACCCTCTACTGAACACCCCCCTCACCCTCTCGACCCTCACTTCCTCAACTACCCCAAAGCCAGTGATATTTGTCGATTGATCCGAGAAATTACAAAAAGAACAATTGTTCAATTAATTGTCCAATTTATTTCCATAAAATTATGTTAATTTTCTGAAGAAAAATAAATTTTTTTCTAATGACGAGAAAAAAAAATGGATTCCGTTGGTAATCGATGGCTTTCTCATTCCAATCAATTACCAATTTTTTTTTTACAATCGATTTTACGCCCTGACATTGTCCTGCCCTTGCCTGAACCCATAGAATATCTCCCTCCACGGGGCCCTGACGTTAACCGGCAAATTAATTACGAATAAGAAACCAAGAGACACGAAACCCACATTATGTGTCTCCCCCTCGCACTAGCAATTTTCGTTCAACTTTTAAATGCTGTTTACGAGGAAGAGTCCTGCTAAAATACGAGACTACGGTATATAAAATTCTCCCAGTGAACGGCAGGAGAAAATAAAATAGACAATTTCAACTAGCAGAGGAGGACAGCTAAATAGGGAATGAATGTATCAAACATACCAGTAGCTGGATGAAGCGAATTCGTGATATCTCCAGTGCGATTAATTCTAAGAAGTGGTTCATTCTTGTTGGCTCTGGAAAGGGGTCCTCCACGTCACGCAGAATCTCTCTCTGGAATTGGAAAAAAAGAGTTATGAGTGTTTCAAGTGGTTTGTTATTGAGTTTCCTGGGGGAAGAGAGAATTTAGGGAATGTCAAGGGGAAAATTACCGATTTTATCTACCATCTTCAGACAGTTTTAGTTATCGAACTCAGAAAATTACTTTTCACCATGAATATTTACATGATACTACAATATAAATTTTTACATTTATCAAAATGCCCCCCAATCAAATTTTAACTTTGACTGAAATCTGAAACCGTCTTTTCAGTTTTCTGACATATTATTTATCCAATTGATCCGAAAAGGATACCGATCTGTCATTATTCAATGACTCACGAATATTCATGCACGATGACAATATTTTGAGAGTTATTAAATAAAATAAAATGCGATAATTAATAAAATAAAATGCCAATTCAATCAACAGTTTGTCAGAACAACGAAAAACCGTCGATTCTGGCTAAAAAGGGATAGCGCATCCTTAAATTGACGGTGAAATTATTTTCAGGTACTCATCAATAATCTTCATTGACACAATTTGTTTTCCCCGAGTAGAACAAATTGCGTAAATAATTGAATAAACGAATCAGACGAATGAATGCTCGCGAGTTTAGTTTACTTTTTTCTCGTCGAGCTCTAATTGATTGCGAAACGCAAACGTTTCAGTTTCAACAGTTGGGTATTTGATGATTGGTATTTTTTACCTTTACTCACTTGAAAACGTAATTTTCACAATGGAGAAAAACCGAACTAGATGTATACACTCGAGAAGTCTTCACTGAACTGCTTATAAATTTCTATCCGTGTTGATATACTCCCTAAAGCCCTTGACGAATGTTTTGAAAACATTCCATTGGAACGTGATCAAGACAAACCATCCTCAAGCAATTCCTGCTTACAATCCTTCTTATCACAATTATATCCGTCTCTTTCCCAAACAATCAATACACTGTCAAAATACTTCTGTATTTATCCAAAAAATTCACTGATTTCCACATAAAAAGATCGAACTCCATTATTATTTGATGAGTGAATTAATAAATAATTGCAACGGCACTTGGATAATGTACTATTTTCGAATCGAATGAAATGAAACCTATTAATTGGTTTTCCTTTCAATAGTTTAGTTGAATTAAAGTGCAAGGCTGTATCAATAGGGGACGATTAAGGAGTTGCAAGTTTTAACAAAGTCCATACAAACCCCTTTTGAAACTTGTGTTTGGATGTGATGGAGTGTACTTAGGATACACTCCCTCAAAATTCTGTGGGCAAACGTACCTAGCCGACACCACAATTGATCGTTTCAAAGTTTATATTTCTGCACGGGGTGGCCAGATCCTAGTGGTAACTACGATATGCATTAGTTGGGGGCAATGCATTCGCATATTGGGACAATCTGCTTGATTCACCGTAAGGAGCCAGATTTGGTCAGAGCGTGAAATAAGGTTATTGCTGGGATCAGAGACGCAAGTCCCTCATTAATATCACCACGAGTCGCCAATTAGAAATGCTAATGTAATTTGAGATTTTGGTGGGGGAAATGGGGTGCCATTGGAGTGAGATATGTCGTGTTTAATTGGTGGTTTTTGGGGGAAGCAAGAAAATTGCGGGTTTTTGGGGTAATGAGTTGATTTCCAACCACTGGAAATGCTCTCAACAATGGAATTTCAGTTAGATCTACGATTAAATTACAAGTTCTCTGGAATTTTCGTGATTTTAATGGAAAATCACTCGGGAATTTCGAGGGAGATATTCCTCGAGAAGAAAAAATCCCTCCAATCCCAACTCGGAATTTTTCAATTAACCCCTGATTAAATGCCCTGATAAAATTTGCAATTGAACAATTTTGTTATTCAAGCTAATATTTATTCCCATTTAATGAATAGATTTTTTCATTCACCAGTTTGTCATTGAATTGAATTAAATTAGATTTTAAACAGAAATAGAATTCTCCGTAAAAGTGACAATTTTGAACTGAAAAAAAAATACCAAAAACATCCCTTGCAGCTTCAAAATTTTCCGAATTTTCCCGACCTGACCAGAAACAGTTTCCACAGATTTCTACCCTACCAGGAATAGTGCAGGCAGCTGCCTATTCCAAAAATATCCAGGATGTACCAACAGCCCACACTAGCCTGACAGCTGGCCAAAAACATTGCACCCCACCAGAATTTTCCCCTGAACTTTTGTCCCCAGTGGAAACATAAAATTCCATGCAACTGCACTGTCTACGTGTTACCTTGTCTCATTGTTCCTCCATTGTATGCGGTTGATGAAAAACTAGGATAAACCGTGAGCACGAGGTGGACCACAGAAATCCGACGCCTGACAGTAACTCACCACTGAACAAGTCTCAAACAGCATCAAATGTCAGAGACAGACGCGTATTATTGCGACGTTTATTATCATACGTCACAGGGCCTCAGTTAAATAAAAAAAAAGAGGCATTTTTATGTCTAATTTAGTGCTGGTGTGTAACTAGAACAGACGCATGTGGATGTGGCTCGACAGGAGACTCATCATCTGAGAAAATCATCAGTTGGGAGAGCGAAGAAATGAGAAAATGCGATAATCAGGTGGGACTTCAATTAATTTGTCTGCTGGGAGTGAGATTGAAATAGTTTTATGGGTCTATGATCACTCCCACGCGGTTCACTCCTCATTTCCCACGGATTATAATAGTCCCTGGTATTCTAGTTTTTCTGCAGTCAACAAATGACTTCATTTGACATTTCTCATCCACATGTGACGTTTCTTTATTATTGATTTTGCCCTCTCCGCTGAGGAATTAATCCTGATTCAAACTTGTTTTTGAGGTTATGGGTGCTGTCATGCCGCATGATACAAACTCCATAGGGCGTTGGGAACATATTGTTTTTTGTTTTACTGAAATCGAACTAATCCATTGAGACTCGAATTCCCCTGTCAAATTCATTTTGATAACTTCAGTCAAATTTACAGGATTTAATTTAAAAATTCACTCACTCCATTTTTATCGCCTGCTTTTTATTGTAGAATGTCTTGAGACGTCAAAATGGAATTCCTTCGTTGTGGGAGAATAATTGTAGGGAGACACTGGGTGTTTACTTGATGAATCATGAGTTTTATTTTGAGATCCGCTGAAAATGTTTGCAAAACAGTCCATTGGAAGTCGTCACAACAAATTCCTGGTTATTATGCGTTAGTAACATATTGTTGTTTACAAAATCATCCATTGACCCTCGACCCTCGCTTGGAATTCATCTCGTTAACTCCACTCAGATTTAAATTTAATGATTGAGTCACTTCTTTTTGCTACTCTCATTTTAATTACACAAGTTATTCCAGAGAATTTTGATTTTTACGGTGAAGTAGAACGGAATTGGAAAAGTAGGCTAGAGAGATCTTTCCCAACTGTTTACGAATTTCTCGTGAAATTGACACATTCCTCTCACAACGAATCCTCTACGAATATTTACAAAACAGCCTATTGGAGCTGCCCACACAAACAAGTCTCAACAAATTCCTGTTTGCAATTCTCCGTATGACAATTATATTTGTCTCTGTTCCACAGACGATCAATGTACTCCTGGACTACAAGAAGTATCCGACATGAAGATTTTAACGGCGAGAATAAAAGTCACTAAACTAGTTATTTTAAAATCATGATTAAAAGAAAAATAAACATGTTGATCAATACTCCAATCATTGAATATAAATTTCAAATGGTCATAAATGCGAGTGTTTTTTAACAATCGTTATAAACTATGTGTGTTCAAACAAATTATTCACTTTTAATGATTATCATTGTGTTCATTTGAGCATTACAATTTTATTACTGTTCAAAATGCGGCGGGAGTGCTTGGCCGATTGAAAACTCGTGTAGTGAAAGAGTAGAATCGTGTTTTTCAAGTTTAAACTTTATCCCTGTTGTTGAACAATTGGAGAAAAATATTTAATTGAATCCCCATCATGACCGACATTATAACACAGGATCTGCACGAATTACTAATTTATTTCTCGAAGAATACCTACAAGGCCAAAGATGCTGATAGCACGGTAATTTTTTTTTTAACTTTTCAAATTGATAAATAATTTTGTTTGAATAAGTTCCTTTTAAAAAATTTCTGTTTTTGTGGGGAAGGCATACATTTTCCATAATTAACAAATGAATAAATTTCTCAGGGACAAGCAATAATGCAAAAATGCCTGCTGATAGCAGATCTGGATTACACGCACTCTGTAATAAACAACGGTGCAGGTGACCTGAGTGCCCACTATCCAAGCCATTTGATAATTTTGGAAAATGAGAAACACAAGAATCCTAATGAGACCCCACCACCACTGCCACGGACAACCGAGACCATCTACGAGAGCTCTTATGAGCCCAACAAATTGAAAGATATGATAAAATCAGCGCGTTTTGCCAGGTGTCGTTCAAGATTTCCACTGCCAGTGATTCTGTACAAAGGCCGACACATTTGCAGATCAGCCACACTGTCAGGGGGTCCCGAAATCTATGGCAGATCAGGGCTAAATTATTTGTTCGCTGGTAATGAGACTGCTGGTGGTGAACAGAGGGATGATGAGGCAAGAGGTGGTGAGGGGGTGCTCAGTGATTGGCAATTGTTCGATAAAGTGAGAAATCAAGATATTAAATTATTAAAGACACTGAACGTTGGCAACATCATTGACTTCATGGTGGAGAAGAAGAAAGTCAAGTTTGGGATGAAGTGAGATTTCTCCTTATTAATTCATTCACTTGTGATAGAAATCTCTAACAATTAATTTTTGTGAATAGTTTCACCATTTAGGAATTAAAGAAACGTCTGATACACCGGAGATGTTAATGTTCATTTTTTTTTCTCAGTGTGACGTCTTCAGAGAAGGTGGACAAGGAGAAGAGATACTCCGAGTTCACGATAATTTCACTGCCCTATCCGGGATGTGAATTTTTCCGCGAATTTCGTGAGAACGACTACCACGCAAAGGGGCTAGTATTCGATTGGTCTCAGACCCATGTAGACGCAGATATCGGAGTACCCGAGGACGTGATATCAACGCAACTGAAGATCAGTTGGGAACAGTATCAGCAGTGGGACCTAGTCAAACTCACCCAGAATTACTTGAAATTAATCCTGAAGTATCTGAGTGAGAGCAGCAGTGGAATGCTCATCCACTGCATATCAGGATGGGACAGAACTCCATTATTCGTCTCTCTCCTGCGTATAAGTCTGTGGGCAGATGGTGCAATTCACACGTCCTTGAATCCCCACCAGATGCTCTTCTTCACGATAGCCTATGACTGGCTACTCTTCGGCCATGATCTCTCAGATAGATTGAGTAAAGGCGAGGAGATCTTCTTCTTCTGCTTCTTCTTTCTCAAACACATCCTCGAGGAGGAGTACAGTATCAATCCAAAGCACCCGAGAACGAGGCACTCAGTCCTCAGGAATGACAGTGATTCTCACCTGGATAATGTCATGTTTGACAATGAATCTGTGGTGACTCACAGCTCAGTCAGCTCCAATATGAGTTGGAATAGTTGGTGCAGCTCCTTCAGTCAAAATAGTCGAGATAGTCAGGACAATAATCCACCGAATGTTTTTCCCTGTTCTTCCAATGATGGGCAGGATGATTGCCACAGTAATGGGTAAATGAAATTATCACCATAAATTTCACCATAAATTATTTTTTTTTCTTCATGAAAATTCATGTTTTGTCCCCAGAAATGTGGTAACCTGGCCTTTCTACAGCTCTCCACAAAAGGATACCGTTGCCTCCCGCTCTCCTCTACCCCAAAATCGCACATCACCAGTTGCAGTACCTGTTTCAACGCGTTTTCGTCAACGAAACGAATCAACGTCTTCCGCTGGCTCTTGGCAGATGATTTCGGGGACTGGGAGCCTTCGCGGCTCAACTACCTCGAATATTATGCTGACAGAGCACTTGTCTGCTTGTGGAGTCACTTGCAACAAGCCACACTGCACTTTTTGCCTGGGCCAAACCTCCCAGGACTCAACTACAACGATAGTTGAGGACGAATCTGCTGTCTCTCTGGCACAGTGAGTAAATAATATCCTGGAAAGATGGATTCATAAATTGATAAATTTATCTCACCCCATGCAATCTCCAGTTTTTCTCACAAAAGCAATCGCATATGTTTCAGAACCCGAAAAGAGAAACTTTATGCATTACGACACCTATTCTACAACGCTTACAACACCGTTGGCTTCAGAATGAAGGAGAACTCCGAGTCAAGTGGTCTGGGTCAATTACTCGGTAATTTTGCTGAAAAAGTGGGCCTGTCCGTACAACGCACATCATTGTGACCATAAATCATCGATAAATACCACCGTTGTTAATTCACATTATCTCATATTCTGTTCAAAGAACGTTGAAAGTTTAACAGACACTGAGGAGTGTTAAAAATTCGATCATAAGTTTATTGAATACTGTGAATAAGGCACATTTTTGGTATGAGTGGATGAGGAAATAAAACTTGATATTTTTGTATATAAAAAATATATTGCCCTTATTACTTCCTCCAGTGATAATCTATCTTAGAATAAAAAACTGTTGAATCACAGATTCATGAGGTGCACGATTCTCGATGGAATCACGTGCTCCCTGCAGTATGGACACTGTGATCGTGTCCTCAGCCAATCTCCCAGACAATTCCAGCAGAATAAATGACCACATGGAGTTGTTGTTGTGGGAATTGTCTCCAGACAGAGCTGACATTTGTTACCCTCTTCCTCCTTTGGTGAGGAGTCTTCCTCGTCGATTCGATCCTTTCCTCGGTACATTTTCAGAGCACACTGGGCTAGGGTTGCCAGACCCAACAGCCTCAGTCCCCAACTGACCCCATCACTCGGCCTCTTCCCATAAACCTTTCCGTGAATTAGAAATAATAAACAGATTTTTTAATTTCATTCAACAAACGTTAAGTATTAATTAATCTGAATAATGCTTACCTTGGCATAATCTACCCCCGCTAGTCTTCTCCCCCAACTGTAGTACCTTCCGTATATGTAGAACAGCCCCTTGTGGACGAGAATCATCAACGGGATCGCTGTTTTGAGCCTGTCAATGAGGCAATTCAGGAAAATCACCGCCTCGGGTTTCAGTTCGCTGTCAGGATGATCCACACTCTTTTTCAGTTTATCCAGAAGCCCGAGCAAACCTCGCTCTCCAAAACATTCCAAGACTGCTGCCAAAACTCTCGCCTGTAGTGGAAAAAGAAATTGTGCGGAAAATAGTAAATTATGAAATGACCTCAATACTTCGAATTAAAGAATAACTTCATGGAATAATAAAAAAATAATAGAAAACCGATAATTACACTCAACGATGGCACTTTTCTTGTCTCTAGATCAGCTTGAATAATGCCAGTATATTCTTCTCCTAGTGTCTGGTTACCCAGACCCGACGTAAATCCAAAGTACAATAACTTCAGTGGAATATCCGATTGAATAAACGGTAAAAGTGTTCGGTACCCCCCGAAATTGTGCAATAAATCCAGAAATTTCTCCCTCAATCCCCTAACAAATTCCTCATCCCTCTGGTGCGACCGGAGTATTTCGGCTTGAGTCGCACTCCTGAGACCCCTGATCCTCTTACCGGAAGGTGTCGATGTCATTATCAAGCTTAGTTACGGCCACTAATTTTTCGCCATCACAGATTTTTTAAATCAATAACTAATTCTTTCCCAGAAAATGTCACAGTGCATGATTCTTAGACTTCTTATGTTTAAATCACTGGTGTCGTTCAGTAAAAAAAAACACACAGAACACGGGTCAGGGGAAATAATAACAAATCGATTTTAAGAAAAATATCGAATCACTCAATGTTTCGAATGGAAAATATCGAATAGCTATGGCACAGAGAATTGACTAAAGTAGAGACTCAGTTCTGGGGGTTCGAGTGACCCCAACGGGGTCGTAGTACTGCACCCCAAGAAAGGGAGGGCGCCACAGTCCAGCTGTCAGAGGGACCAGTCGACAGGGTGAGTGTTATTTTCTGCGTTACGAAATTGGTATTCACTGAAATTAAAAATTTTATGGAGTCACATAAATTTTTGCCCCCATGTAACCATTAATCAAGTCCAATTAACCTTTAACCAAATCTAAAAAAATTTAAGTGACTCCATAAAATTTTTAAATTTCAGTGAATAACAATTTCGTAACGCAAAAAATAACATTAACCCTATCAACTGATCCTGCTGACCGCGAGACTGCTACTGAGGCAGTTACCGAGTCGGCTGACGGGTAGATACCCCACCATTGGGTGCGGCCCCCACTTTCTCTTGGGGTGAGGTGGGGTACAATGCTGGTGGGGTCACTCAAACCCCCACTGAGTGGCTCAGTTCTGGGGGAGAACCTCACCCCAAGAGAAAGAGGGGGCCGCACCCAATGGTGGGGAGTCTACCCGTCAGCCGACTCGGTAACTGCCTCAGGCCCTCAGTAACAGTCCTGCTGTCAGAGGGACCAGTCGATTGAGTGAATTTTATTTTCTGAAAATTTGTAATTTTTCAATTTCAGCGAATACCTCCTCGATTTTCATGCTCCTCTGATACTTTTCGAAAAATTTCGAATTTTCACATTTCAA